CTCTGGAACACGCTCTTGATCAACGCCCTGTCCTCGGGGGCGCGCGACGCCAGGATCGTCACCACGCGCGGCAGCCGCTTCATGATCTCCGCCTTGTCCAGATCCGCCATGATCGGCACCAGGAAGCGCGGATCCACCTCGCGCGTGTCCACCAGCTCGAGCACCAGCTCCACGATCGCCGGCGTCCGGCTCTTCTCGGTGAGCGTCTTGAGGATGCACAGCGCCAGCGAGTCGGCGCCGTCCGGGAAGTTGCGCAGCAGCGTCAGCAGGCGCGCATGGTTGGCGCCGAGCGCGCGGATCAGGTTGACAATGTGCGTCTCGATCGCTTGCTGCACAAACTTGGGCGTGCGCGGGTAGGCGGAGAAGATCTCGTCGAGCATGTCGGGGATCTTGGTGCACAGCGAGAAGGGCAGTTCGACGAAGCGCAGCACATCGTCGCTGTCGGTCGGATGCGTCGATTCGGGCTTTTCCGGCTCTTCGGCTGCCTCGTCGTTTTCGTTGGCAGCGGAAGCGTCTGCGGCTTCCGGGTCGGGTTTGATGGATCCATTGGCGCCGTTGGCTTCATTTGCATCGCCATTGGCCTTGTCCGCGCCTTCCTTGGCCTCGGTTTGCTCGGGGGCCAGTTCAGGTGTTTCGACGAGAATGTCGAGGTTGCTGCGGGCAAACGCGAGGATGGTCGCCTCGAGCGTGCTGTTAGCCACAGCACACTGCTTGATGGCAATGATGGCTCTGGCTCGAGTAGCTCGTTCGCTCGTCCGGGTGAGCTGCAACAGCTTCTCCGCCGACTGGTCGCGAAGCGCAGGACGCGAAATGCAAATGTCTTGCAGCGTCGACATACCCGCAACCAACTTGTCCTTGTCCTTGCTGAGCGCGGCTACCAGGTCGAGCACTGCGGGCGGAATCTCGGGCAGATCAGCGAGGAACTTGGCGAGCGATCGGTCCTTGGCGTCGATGCTAGGGATCCACGCCTGCACGAGCTTCTCGAGCCAGATCGGGTACTGGTCGTTGCTCGTGGTGGTGCCGTCTGCTGCGGCGGCGTGCTTGCGGCGCACGCGGTCACAGAACCACTCTTCGGCCATCCAGGTGACAGCGAATCGGGTGCGGCGTGCAAAGTCGGCCTTGACAAACTCGAGCATCAGCGCGCGGATGATGTCGGCTTGCGCGGAGAGCGTGCGTGTTGGCTCGACGCCGCCGACGACGATCTTGGTCTCGGGTTCCTGCGGTGATGCCTCGGGATCCGAAGGAGGCTCGGCGAATCCACGCGTTGCGAGACGAATGACCAGAGTTGACCAGAGCGCCTGAGACCCGGAATCGGATGGGAGATCGGCGTTGGCCAGCGCAGACGAGGTCGACGAGCCAAAGTCGCATATCCTTGCAATCGTATCCTTGATGAGCGAATCGGACTCGCTGACCGAGAGATACTCTGGCGGCGCGAAAGCAAAGTTTTCAATGACAGCCAACGAGAGTTCCTCCTCTTCCTCCTCTTCTGCTTCCTGCGCACTGCGTCGGGCGTCTCTTTCGCGCCCGCTTGCTTCCAATGCTTCCAGATCCTCCTCTGCCATGTCCATCTGCAGCGGATCCAGCACGACGTCCTCGCCAGCATGCTCGGCCTGCGCCTCGGTCTTGATGCGCTCGCCATTGGCCAGCGACGGATCCATCATAGAAGGTGGCCGCGGTGGTGGACCAGGAGCAGGGCCCGGCGGAGGTGGTGGTGGCGGCAGAGATGATTGTGCCGTGGGATATTGTGGCGGTGGTGGTGATGGCGCCGACATAGACGCGTCTGCTGGAAGGTTGGCACGCATGTTGGCGATGGCTGCGTTGAGGTCGTGATCTGAAAGCGCCTGGAGGTTGGCAATGATGAGGTCGATGACGAGCGTTAGCGGAAGTGTCTTGACGTCGAAAGCAGCCAAAGGGTTGCGTCCGACACCGCCGGTGGTTCTGACCGATGCGTTGCGGAAAGCTTCACCTGCTGCCGGGTCAACTTGTTGTTGTTGGTGTTGCTGCTGTGAGGTGGATGCCTCTGCCTCGGATTGCTGTTGGTGATGCTCGAGCTTGATCTTTTTGGGACCTTGGAGCTCCTCGTCGATCTGCTCGCGTTTGCGCTTTGCTTCCGCCTCCTTTTGTGCTTGGTAAGCCTTGGCAGCTTCCTCCATGCGACGCTGCTGCGCTTCGAGCGCCTTTTGGATGGAGGCCGAGTCTGGACCTGCGAGCTGGTTGCGCACAAAGTGAAGGTAGAAGATGCGGACTGTCTTTTCGACGTTGCGTACTTGGGTGTGCGAGAGGTTGGTGAGGCTGGCGGGAGTCCAGGTGGCCATGGCACGGAGGATGACAGATCCGAGTTGTGGACGCGCTTTGGCGAGGACGGTGAGCGAGTTGACGGAGGCCATGATGAGGTCGGTGACGTCGCTGGTAAAGATCAAGGTGACGATCTGGGCAAAGAGGCGATTGCCCTCCTCTTCGAGCTGGGATGCATTGAGGAGAGGGTGGGAGGTTGGAACGGTGTTGAGACTGACGTCGTTCTTGAGCTGTGCGCGAGGGTCGGTGGAGCCACGCGACTGGACCTGGACGATGCGCTGGTAGCACTTGATGACGGCGAGCTTGGCGCCTTGGCTTCCGTGATCGAAGAGGTGGACGACTTGCGCCTTGATGGCCTGTACGGTTTGCCAGAGATTTGATTTGGCGCGGTCGTTGCAGACGAGGCGGAAGAGGACGGGATACATGCTGGCAAAGCACTGGGAGGCGATTTTGGCGAGACGCGGGTCCTTGTCCTTGATGAGCAAGAGGATGGCTTCGGGCGCATGGATGGCGAGAGTCGCTTTTGTGTCTTGGGAGAGGGCCGGTCGGCAAAAGGCGAGGTCCATGACGAGAGCAATCCATGTTCGTAGCGATGTGCTCGCTTTTGGGAGGAGCGAGATGAGGGAAGGCAGCAGGATGGGAATGTTGCCAGGCTGCACTTTGAGCAGGTTGTAGAGCTCGTTGAGGTGACGAGCTTCGTTCTGCTTGTCGGATGAGTTGAGGGCGGCACTCAGCAACCCGAGCGCGTCGGTGTTGGCTGGTGCTGCCATGGTGAAGTGCGCGTGCTTTGGGGAGACGGAGAGTTGCTCTAGAAGTGCAGAAGCCTCCGTGGGCACGATAGAATGTGATCAGCCGAGTCGAGATGCAAAAGGCATTGGCGATGCAGAGAGGATCGGAATGCAAAGGAGGCCGACTGAGCGCGATTCGCCGAGTTGTTACGGAGGTCGACGTGCAAGGCTGCACCGGTGCTGTTCTGCGTCGCCAGCTTGGATCAAGAGCCGGAGTCTCGCAAGTGCCTTGCGTGTTGGTAGTTACTGTGCAAAGGAGCGTCGAGCGAGCGAGTCGGGTAGATGAATGAGCAAAGACGAGATGCGTAACGAGTCGAGTCTCAGCAAAGGCTGCCGAGTTGCATTTTGGATTTTTCGAGTTGAATCAGAATTTGGTTGCTCGTGTGAACGAACGGCAAAAAGAGAGAGGGAGAGCCAATGAAGCACCAAGTTGGTCTGTGTTGAGAATGGCAGCTGGATCGGGTGCCCAAATCGGGAAAGGGAAAGAGAAGTGCACGGATGCACGCATGGAAAGCCCCTCAGCTTCGCCCTGCAGTCGCAATCACGAATCGGTTTGCGAATTGCACTCGACTTGAGTGATAATATCGTCGCCGCCCTCCACTGATCCTTCTCACCTTTGCTCCCCAGCATCGCCTCTTCCGACACAACTCCCGTCGATCTCACTCTGCTCATTCTGCTGCACATTCATCATGGTAAGCATTCGCCACAATCCAGTCGGAGTGCCGCGCATGCGCTCCCTCGGATGCGATGCAATCTCGGACAGCACCGCTCACTCATCTCTCGCCTTGCCTTGTCGTTTCACCTTTGCAGGCCGCACAGCAATCCCAGGGCATTCAGACCCTTCTCGAGGCTGAGAAGGAGGCCGCAAAGATCGTTCAGAAGGCACGAACCTGTAAGTCGTCTTTGCAACTTCGGCACGCAACCAGTGTCGCCTATTCCGGCTGCACTCTGCCGTCGCATCGCCAGTCGGCCCGCCACTCTTCGACAGAAGCGAACGGCAGCATGGTCAGATCGCTTACCATTCCACACATGCTCTATCCGCTCTCGACACTATCCACCACAGACCGAACCCAGAAGCTCAAGGACGCACGCAGCGAAGCATCAAAAGAGATTGAGCAGCTCAAGTCCAAGAAGGAGAAGGAGTTTAACGATTTCCAGAAGGAGGTGAGTCTCTTGCTGCAATCTCCCTCCCCCGGTCTCCCCTCCCACATCGTCACTGACCATCCCACCTCCTCTTCAAACCAACAGCACGAGGGCTCCACCTCGAGCTCGCAGACCACCGTAGACAAGGAGACCGAACAGAAGCTCGACGAGCTCAACAAGGCGTTCGACTCGAACCGCGACCAGGTCATCACCAAGCTGCTCGACCGCGTCGTCGACGTCAAGACCGAGCTGCACAGGAATCTCCAGCTTCAGCAGCAGAAGGCTTGATTTCGGCCTTCCTGTGAATGTCGTGGGGCTTTGCCCCACCACGCCGTCGTCTGACTCTTGGTCCTTGTTCGTAGCTTGAATACAGTTGGTTCGTTGAGACTTGCTCTGGCGTTGTTGTCTGGAGTGGCAGTGTGTGCGTGGTCGGGTGTGGTGAGGGGCACGTGGCTATGGGAGTTGAAGGAGTGTCGCGAGCGAGTGCGAGTGCGAGTGGAACGGGTCTGCACGGCGGAGAAGCTATGGCGATGTCGGCTCTTGCACCGTCGCTCACCTGACCCAACCCAACACCTCTGCCCGCTCGAGCACACGCTTTGTTCAATGCAACACACCTTCTCCACTGCGCCTCCGTGCCCCTCGCACAGCACTCACAGCCTAGCACACACAAACGGGACGCAGTCGCACGCAGCAATCTGATTGAAATTTCTCACACTTATGCGTCCGCTATATATATGCTCCAAGCGCAAAGTCTGGCAAAGGCAGACAACTCCGTCCCGATTAGCTCAGTCGGTAGAGCGTCAGACTTTTAACATAAGGTCTCCGAGAAACAACTCACTCGGAATTGCAGTTTAATCTGAATGTCAGGGGTTCGAGCCCCCTATTGGGAGTCGCCTTTCTCTTTTTTTTGCGTTTTTTTTCTGGCCCATCCAGGCGGTGATCCGTCCCGCCTCCGACAGCATTTGTTCGGTGTCGCTGCGATGAAGGGGCGCTTTTGAAGCGTGACATATGACAAGATGCTGATACGCCTGCAGGATATGCTCGGCAGCACAGGTTTGGCGGTAGGAAGTGGCAATCAGCCGGTGACAGAGTGGGGTGGATTCGGCGTCTCAGTCTCCCTCGCTTGAAATTGCAAGCTACATATATGCAATAGTGGGCTTGTGACTTCATTAATGGTTTCTTGGCGCAGTTGGTTAGCGCGTCTCCTTAACAATTCTGGTCTTGTTCAGATCGTTAGGGCTTACGGAGGAGGTCGCCGGTTCGAACCCGGCAGAAATCAATTTTATTTTTTTTGCTACGGCTCACTCTCTTTTGTCAGTCAACACTCTCAGCTCACAGCATCCAGCGGGGGTCTCTCTCTTGCTGCAGTCGTCCTCGGACTGAGTTCACATGCCGTGATCATGCGGGTATACAACCTGACATTCGCCGTGCCACAGCTACGAAGCCTCATGCCGCGTGCCCACCGTCGTGCCCTCCCGGACCTGCTGCTCCATGTGCGGGTTCCAGCACGCCACCGCCCTGCGCTCGCCGAAAAAGTCCGCGCCCAACGTCGCCACGCCCAGCACATCCGGCTCTTGCTCCAAGATCCCCGCCAATTCCGTGCCCGCTGCAGCAGGCGAAGACGCAGGCGAGGCGAGCCCGAGCTCGAGGTCGAGCAGATCGCGCCACTCCTGCTCGCGCGTCGGCGTGCTGTCCGACGCCTCGAGCCATTCGGGTTCAGAGCGGAACACGTCGTGCGACCGCAGAAAGTCGTGCACTGCTTGGCGGTCGTACGTGACTGTGGGGGTAGTGGAGGGGGTGAGGGTTGAGATGGCGTCGATGGCGGGCTCTGCTGTGCACGACGTGTCAGGGGCTGGATCGACGCCTTCCGCGCCGTCCACCGCCGCAGGTTGAGATGAAGACGCTGCCTCACTCGCAAACAGAACGCGCTCGATGCTCGCCGTCGCCGACGAATGCTGCGCAGCCACCTCGGCCGCCGCCGCCTCCGAAGCCGCCGTGCCCAAGATCGAGCGTGCCGCAGCGCGCACCTTGGGCGGCTGCAGAAACACCGTGCGCGCATGCCGCAGCTCCGTCTCGTACTCTCGCACCGACAGGCCGTCGGGCGGGCGGAACTTCTTCGCCTCCTTGCGCAGGATCGCCGAGATGCTGCCGTGTTCCTTGAGCAGCCGGAGCGCGGTCTTGGGCCCGATGCCGGGCACGGTGCGGTTGAAGTCGGTGCCGCAGAGCAGGGCGAA